CGCTCGCGGTGACCACTCCGCGCGGGGCAGCGGCTTCGGCGGCACCGCTGCGTTGAGTGCGAGAGGCCTTTGGGGAAGTGGTGCCCCCAGGCCGTCCCCACACCCTTGCTGCTGCCCGGGGAGCAGCTCGGGGTGCTCCCGTGCTGCTGTGCCCAACGGGCCCGAGGGGCGAGCAGAGCAGCTCCAGGGGCAGGGCTACTGCGCCGCTCTGCCTCCCCTCGCAGGCTCCGCGCTCGCCCTGCGCGTAACCTGAGCAGAGGCTCCGCATGGGAACGCGATCAAGTGACTGCTGGAGAGGCTCCAGCCCTGTCCAGGCAGCAGCGCAAAGCGCAGGGCTTTTATTACCCCAAGTGACCTCATTTCCCCACATTCCCCCTTTCTCGCTGTTAATTGCAGCAGGGCTTCAAAGGAACCCTGGGCCTGTCCTCGGCCAAGTGGGCGTCACTTCAATGTTTCGGGCTGTCTTTCCGCTTTCCTTTAATGAGATGAAATCCTCCAGCCGTGAGCTGCTGCAGCCGGTGGCTGCTCCAGCGCTGCCTTCCCAGCCCTGAGCCCAGGGAGCTCCCAAGGTGTCTCTAGCCCTGCTGCAGTCTTCTCCTAATTGGATAATTTTCCTTCTCTCGCGCGTCATGGGAAATAGTCGGGGAACGTGTCCTTTTAGGGTATAGCCTGGTGTCTGCTGTCACATCCAGATCCTTTTCCCTGGGGGGACATCAGTCTGTCTCTGCTGGCTTTATCGCTTCATCCTCTGCAGCTGCAGTCCCAGAGAGGGCATCGTTCCCCTGAACACCACCTGCTCCGCAGGCAGCAGGTGTGTGCTGGGAATGGGCCGGGAAGGGAGGGAGCAGCCCTGCAGCTAATGCTGCGGCTGGACCAAGGCTGGGCTGCCTGCGCGTGCAGCGAGCTGCCCGTGGCAGCAGGCGCTGCGGGTGACCTTGACAGGGCAGGGAGGACACGGCACCCTCCCCAGGGCTTGGCTGGCCCCAGTAACTAGCGTGGAGTTCTTCCCCAAAGGCACGGCTGTGTGTTTTGGCCAATCATGTAATGACCTCTTGTGTCTCTTCCAGGGAAAATATGAAGAAAGATTCCTGAAAGATGAAACCATCTCTCAGCAGATCAACTCGGTTGAGTCCCTCCCGGAGCTTCACCTTGTTCCAGAGGATGAGAAGTCAAGGCAGCTCTTGCAGACAAAACTGCACATAAGGAGCCGGCCTCCTTCCAAACCCACCATTGTCCGAGGGGTCACCTACTACAAGGCCCACTTCACGGATTCGGAGAACGACATCGAGGAGCAACGTGAGTTGGGTTTGTAGCCACATCTGACTTAACCAGCCCCTGCGCTGCACCCTCGCCTCTGCTCCGTGGCCATCTGCGTGGCAAGGGCAGCAGTCCCTTTTGCAGTGGTCATCAGCGGCTGAATGCTCTTGTGAGCCCTGCCATTACCCCAGCCCCCAGATCCTGCCTCTTGTCCCTTAGGAACATGTGGGCAAAGCTCGTGGGGTCGCTGCAGAGAAGAGAAGGGGCTGGAGGCAGGAGGGGATGCGGGTGAGGATGAGGAGCCTGTCTGCGAAGGCCAGGGGAGCTGTGTGCTGCGG